CTGACTCTCTCCTGAAATTCCTGGAAAATCTATCTTGTCCTGAGCACAAGACGTTGGTGTCCTCTCTGAGCTTATATTATTAAATTAACACAAGTAAAAGTCTACTTGGAAAAAAGGAAGCTGTAAGCTGAGCTAGGAAGATTCTTTCAAAGTCCTCTGCTTAAAATGAGGGCAAAAGAGGGAGGTGCTTCTGCTACACCGTGGCAGATGCTTTCCAGTAAAAGGTCACAGTCTGCAATATCTTGCACCACAAAAACCAAGTTCATGGAGAAAACCAGGTAATAGCCAGAACTTCCAAAATTCCACGCAGCTCCATAATCAGAAGACTCAAAAACAATCAATTCTAACAATATTAGCACAGTTTAGACAGGTTGAATGCAGCAACCATGATAGGATTCGGCTTTAGAGAAGCAAACAATCAGCACAGGCAGGTGAGGGAAGGGGCAGAAGGCAGAGTGGAGCTGATGAGCTGCAGGGACAAGGACAATGCTCACAAAGGAACAGAACACAAGGCAGCACATGGCCACTCTGAGTCAGAGGAACAGGAGGTGACAGGACCCTGCAGGACCTTGTTCCCTGCAGACTCTGCACTCACCCAGGCTAGTGCACTCCACGGTCAGGGGCTGGGACTTGGTCCCACCAACATTACTGCACACTGGGCCCTCCAGCTGATTCCACCAACCATGAATCAAAACCCTTCTGAATCAGGTTTTGTGTTTGTGCTGAACACATACATGTTTCTTATCATTATTCCTTAAACAATGCAGAATAACAACCATGGAGCCTGCATTTACATTGTATTGGGTATTACAAGTCATCTAGAGAGGATTTAAAATATATGGGAGGATGTGGTGGGTTGCATGCAAACACAGCCATTATTTTACATAAGGGACTTGAGTAGCTATGGATTTTGGAATCCAAGGGGTGGGTGGCTGGAACCAAACCCCCACAACGTCAAAAGATAGCTGTAGTAGCAAAAATCACACATGAACCAATGCTACTTGTGTGTGTGTCATGATGACATCATTCCTGCATCTGCCAATCACAGAAGAAAGTGTGCCAATGACAGCTGACCTGCCTCCTTCAGGACAGCCCCACTGTCGCTATGGAACCCATAGGCACGGCAGCAACTGTCCCGAAGCCCGTGTGAAGCACGTGTGCAGACACTGCATGGACACTATGCAGGAAGACCCAAGAAAGCAGGATGCACATGATTGGCAAGAGGCCCATCACCTGGCCAGGGGACAGATGAGTACATCTACAGGCGCTCCCTGTCAGAAAAGAAGAACACAGCCAAGCCACCATTCCAGATGTTGTAGCTGGTACACCCCAGCTGCCACCGTGGGAAGCAGCTTTATGGCACTGTCAGGGCAACAAACGGAGGTTTCAAGCTGCTGGGATTCATAATCTACCCCTCCTGGGAAATCCTAGCTGAGTCACTTGAGCGCCCTGCCTAGTTTACGTAAGTCAGAGGAAATAATAATGGCCCTTGTCCCTCCTGTTGAGAAATAAATAAAGCCACATATGCAAGGTACTGAGCACAGTGTGGACACTCTCAGGGTCTCCCTGTCACAACCAAAGCCTCCTCGGGAAGGTGAGCAGTCAGCAGGGGATTTCTGTGCCTGGCCAGAGGAGGCACTCTGCAAGGTCCCCTGAGAGTATGAACAAGGCCTCGGAGGGACAAATCTCCTTCTTTACTCCTCTTTGTCCTCACAATACCAGGACAGAGTCAGAGGTGGGACCCGTGTTTCACTGATGGTGACACTGAGTCTCCAAGGAGGTGGGCATCTCACTAAAGCCACTCAGCTAACCGGAGCCTCCCAGCCTGTGACTCTGTGTGCTCCAGCCTGGACTGTGGCCACTGCGTGCCCAGAGAGCCCTGGGCCCGTGCAGGGCTGCACTCAACATGCTCACGTCCCACGAGCGCTACAGAATATGAATTTAAAATTCGACTTCTAATTCTGACACATTGCTGTTTCTCGCACTTAAAATCCCATTAGCTTGACACGCCTACAAAATACTCATATGTGAGACAAGATGTAGTTATTTTTAAGTTGCATTTGAAACTGTTATGTGTGGGGAGAAGTATTTTTGGATTGACTTTAATTGTGCACCTGCGGCAGCAGCGGAATCACGGCAGCAGCGGAATCACGAAGCTTATGGAGCTGACGGGGAGGTACAAACCCCAGGGGGGCCCGACCTAGTCTACTTGCTGTGGGGGTTGGAATCAGAGCCTGCTGCAGGCCCATCTCCACACTCTGGGGCCAACACCAGGTAGCACAGGTGGTGTCCAGAGGCCTCGCCCTGGCCATTAAAGCAGCACATTCACACTCTAAGAGCAGATCTCGAGATATTCTTGTGAGGGGACATCAGGGTAAAGAATCTTCCACTGAAGAGAAAAATCCCCATAAAGACAAATGTGACTTCCATCCACCCTGACAGAGGGCAGGGGAGTGGGCTCTGCTGACTCACTCCTGGTGGGGAGCCTGGTTGCTCCCTGCACTCTGTCTCCCATGGGTAAAGGACAAAGGAGGAGGTAAGATGGCCAGGAAGTGAGGAGAGGACACACCCACCAGGGGCCTGCTGCACAGCCCAGTGAGGCAGGCCATGGGCACTCTGTCCACGTCAGCCAGCTTCGGCCACATTCTCTGTGCTCCCTGTGTGCTGCAGGGACTGCTGTGGGGCACCTGGAGAGACAGGAGCTGAAAACAAGGCCCCTCAAGGGGGACGGCTCATTCAGAGAGGGGTACACACGCAGGGAGACCGAGAGGGCTCAGGCACCCAGGGACTAACTGGGGGTTTGTTCAAAGAACAGCTGGGAGCCACCAGGAGTGTTCAGCAGAGGAATGAGGTGACCCAGCAAATGCTTCAGAATTGTCGTCACCAGTTTCCCTGCACAATCAACCCTGGGGACGCTCAGGAGGCTCATTTTTCTGATGGGGCAATTGAGCTCAGAGACATGAGGTGATCATTCCAAGGGTCTCGACATGGAGGAGCACACGGGCCAAGCTCAAACATAGCATGTCTGACCCCGGCACCCCTGCTGCCATGCTCTGCCCATCCAGCCTGCTGGTGGACAGTCCTTCCAGGTCAGCACCCCACCTTCTCACTCCAGGCCCTGCAAGTTTAGGGTCAACGGGGCCTTGCCATTGACGGCAGATGGCATGAATAAACATAGACTCTTTTATTTAAAGGATAACTTCATTTGTAGAGAAAGCATGGAAGGCATCAGATGAGCCCCCTTGTCGATGCACAAAACAGCCCCACACTCCCGTGTGGACCTAACCCCTTGGGTCTGACTCTGGTTCCCCTCTGGAGGCACCCCAGGTGCCTGGGACACTCAGGGATCGACAGCAGGAACTTCTGGTCAAACTCTTTTCAGAGTTCCTGTGTAAAATACAGGAGTTTTTTTTGTTGTTGTTGTTGTTTTTGTTTTTATTTTTATTTTTTGTAGTTTCCAATTGTATATAACCAAATGTTTCTTCACAGTTTTTTTAAAAAAAGAGTATTTCTAAACCAACCTGGATGGGCTCAAGTCTGGGGCCCGCAGCAGGACAGCAGAAGCTCAGCTTAGAAAACCCTGAGCCCCTGCACTCCCTGGGAAGGGGCCTCTGGCACAGCACACTTACAATGACCGCAGGAGTCTACACTGCCACTTTGAAGTCACTAGCCTGAGTGTAGCAGGGATGGAAGGACCTGAGCAAGATGACACTTGTGCATAAGGCTTTGGAACCTGCACACCGTTACAGAGCAGATGGGGAAAGAGAAAGGAAATGTGGAACAGGAGAGAGCAACACGGGGCAGGACAGATCAGACGCTACATTGAGAAGAGCTGACCAGTGGGAGCCAGGGTGGGGGAATGGGCACCGGAGAGAGATGGGCAAAATCATGTCCCCCAAGAGGCCCATGTCCCATACACATGTCAGAATTCGTGTCAAGGAGGAATGGAGACTACAGATGGGATCTGGGTTGCAGAAGGGGAGGGAGAGGGTCCTGGGGCATCTGGGAAGGCCCAGCACAATCGACAGGGTCCTCAAAAGTGAAACAGAAGAGAGAAGCAGAAAGACAGCAGCATCCAAGGACTCGGACCGCCCTGCAGGCTCCCAAGAAAGAAAGGCCGCAAGCCAGGAGCAGGTCGGCCTCGGGGTGCTGGGACAGGGAAGGAAAGACATGCTCCCCAGCCCCCAGAAGGAACCAGCCCACCCACACCTTGACCTCGCCCAGTGAGACCTCCAACCGCCACACTGGGAGGGAATACATGTGGGTTGACTTAAGAGGCCACAAGAGTTGTTGGAGCAGGGACAGCAGGGATCAGCGGGGATTTCTACAGTGAGAGGCAAAGGGGTTCCAGGCAGAGAAACCCACCTGAGGAGAGGTGTGGGGTCAAGAACCACGTGGTGTGTAGAGTGTGTGGGCCTCACTTGAGAGGGACACTTGACAGTATGGAGGGCCAAGGTCACAGTGGCCCTGGAGCCTCAGGGAAGAAAGAAAGGCGGGATGCACCCAGCCCCAGGAAGCACTAAGGATTCGACCTTGAGGGACCTTTGAGGTCACTGAACAGCCTGGAGGAGGTGGACACAGTGGAGATGAGAAGAGACTAAGATTGGCAGGGAGCCAAGGAGGAGCAGTGCCACCACCACCTCCCTGCCCCACGCCTCAGCCACAAGCAGGCCCCTAGGCCTGTCTCGCTTTGCTCCAGCTCCTCCCAGACAGAGGGCCCGTGGAGGGACAAGCTCAAGAGGGAGGCAGCCCACCTGGTCTAGGTGCCAGGGACCTTACTTCTACCAAAGGCCATCCTGAAGAAGACACGCCCTCTCTGCATCTCAGCATGCTCTCTGCACAGTGAGATTTACGCAGCGATGCCACATTTGTCGTGAGAGCCCGGAGTAACACATTTTAAATGCCATGCATGGTGTCCAACCCGAGCTCAGTGAACCCTGGCTGCATCTGTGACTGAAGCGATCGGAGTTGCAAGCAGAATGCACCAGAAGGGCTGGTACCTGGATGTTGAGTCTCCCTCGATGCGCTCCCAGGCCGTAGCGCTTCACCGTGGAGGCGTGGAGCTGGAAGTCTGTGATCTTTAGGGTCTCCAGACCAAGAGGCGGGCAACCTGGAAGAACAAGGCGCGCTATAAACAAGGCCAGCTGCTGCAAGAAACCTTCCTGGTTTTCTAAAGGTGGTCATGTGCTCTTCCTTTCCCTCTGAGCCCTCGCTGCCGGCATACTGTGTTTCTAGACAGATAGGGTCACTGCGACTGTCAACGCTCTTGTCTCTTGCCGCCACCTGCTTTCTGCTGCTTCGGCCCTGGTATTCCTTCTCTGTCACTGTCCCTGCTGCTGTCTGAGCCTGTTCCCAATTAAGGGCCCTTCCACAAGGTGACTCAGTCAGGCAGCAGCATTGGGTAACAAACTCAGAACAATCCCATGGTTGAGCTCTACAAATCAATCAGAAGTTGTTGATTTTGCTTCAGTAACTCTGGACTCCGCATTGTGCATGCTAATGAAGAGGACACCAAAATAGAAAGACTATTGTTGTCTGTTCTGACAACTTTGAAAACAGCTACTAGTACCTTTTGCCCCTGGAATAAAACACCAGTGCTTGGGCAGACCCTGGTGATCGTCCAAGTTCAGCCCATCATCCTACACGTGGGAGTACTAACAGCAGCGGGGGCTGAGCCACAGGCCTCCCCCGTTGGAGCTGTCATTCTTACCTGCAGAGCACTGGGTGGGTGGCTGTCATCTTGCCAGACTCTCCAGCCCCCTGAGACCAGTAGGTCTTTTCCAATGGGACTCCTCCTGGATGTATAGATGCCCCACATCCCCTGGGATGCCCTGAGATCCCGGGGCACTTCCTGCCTGGTCGTGACCCACACAACTGCTGGCACCTGGTGTGCTCACCTGCAGACCTGCCACTGTGCTGGAATCCAAGTCTCCAGTGGCGCCACCTTAGCATCTGACTTGGCGAAGCCCACAAAACTCCCAAGTAGGAGTGAACCTACCCATCCCTACAAAGTTAGACAGCTCCAAACGTAACAGGGTAAATGCAAATAGTCATGTGGGTCGCCACTGAGAAGGTGCCCCAGGATCCCAGGGCCCCCAGCAGATGTGGGGCACCTGAACATCCCAGATGACTCCCCTCAGGGAAAAGCCTGCTGGTCCCAGGGGGCTGCAGGGCTGGCAGAGGACAGCCAGCAGGCCTTCTGTGGGCACTTGCCGGCCAGGACCCCAGACACCACCAGGCCTTCCTTGAGTTCTCAGAAAAGGAAACCAAGGCCCTGAGAGCTGAGGCGGGTCACCAGAGACAAGCCTGCTGGCCTCAGAGCTCCAGCTGACACATGATGCCACTCGGCTCCCTGGCCCTGCCGACACCTGCTGGGAGGAGGCTTCCTGGACCAGGAACTGTTCATTTGCCATCTGCACTGTGCGTGGGAGGCAGAGGGACAGGGTCCTGCCATGGTGAGGCAGGAGCCCGCAGGTGAGATGTGGCTGTCCACCTACTGGGCACTGCAAGAGGACAGGGGAGCTTGTGGTGAGCACTGGTGCTCTAAAGAGGTTCTCTGAGAGCATCCTGCAGCAAGGGGGGATGGAGTGGGGGAGATGTGAGTGGGGCAACATGTGAGTGGGGGTCCTGCAATGTGCCTGGGGAGAGGCATATAGGAAGTGAAGGGGCCATGGGATGGGGCCATGCAGCAAATGGGAGCCATGCAGTGAGCCAGAGAGAGGCCGTGCAATAAGGGATGACCATGCAGCAAGTACCCAGACCACAAGAGGCTGATATGCACTACCAGGAGGGGCACAAACTTCAGGTGAGAGCTGGTGGAAGGAAGTGGGTCCCTGGAGGCATGTCCTTGGGGATTATGTCTGACCCCTGATTCTTCCTCCTTCCTTGCTTCCAAGCAGCCAGGAGGAAAGCCTCCTCCACATACCCTCCCACCCAGAAGCCCTGCCTTGTCTCAGGCCCAGACACAGCAAAGCCAAAGATGGGCTGCACTCTGGACCCCAGGCCTCAGACACAGTGGGGGACAGCTGCTAACAGCACAGCTGCAAAGCCTGCTTCTCTGGAGCAAGAGCAGCCACGCCAAATCCACAGCAAGGATGACCGGCTCCAAGGACACCTCCATGTCTTCAGAACCAGAAATCCAGGAGGACGGGGGAGACCAACGGCATCCCCAGCTGGTCCTCCTGTGACTCCTGGAGAGGACCAAGTGCAGTGATCAGACCAACAAGATTCCTCAGTGGCAGTTCCTGCATCGAAGGCTTGAAAACAAATGAATTGGAATCTGGGCTCCATTACCAACCAACTACCAGTCCACAATCAAGACAATTAAGGGCATTTTAGACGTATGAGCACTCAGAAAATCACGCCCTCCCACCATAAGCACAGACCTTTCTGAGATAGTGTGCTGGGATAACGTGCCAGAGACCAGCAGATAAACCCTGGGGACAGCAAGAAGTGAGGGCCCTGCCAGCCAAAGGACTCCAAACACAACACAGAGTTGGAACGAGAACTTAAGAATTCCTTCAGTTTAAATTCTCAAAGAAACCTCTGCCCTTGGCCAAGGACCTGCCAATCACAACACTGCCTTTCAACAAGGAGGCCTTTCCTTCAGCCCTCAGGACACAAAGCGGAGGAAGACAGGTGCATTAATGATCAAGCAGAATGAAGGGGGGGGAAAAGGGGGTTTCAAGGCAATTTAGACATCTATAAGCAGAAAGCAAAAGACAAACCTCGGATGAACTATAACATATTTCTATTATTATGTCAAGCCATGAGAGAATTATTGTGCTTAAAGAATGCTTGAAATAAACGGGAGTCTCATTCACAGCGATTCAGCCCTCATCAGTGTTCTGCTAAGCTCCCAGCCAGGCTGAGGGAGAGTCCCTTCCCTGGCACCAGGACCCGGCTCCCCAGCGGATCTGGGCCAGCAGTGCCACCCACTTCCTCCCCCACCATCTAGAAAAACAAGCAGTCATGTCTTTTACCATCAAATCACGTGTCCATTGCTTCTAGGAAGAAAAAGGCTCTAATCCTGAGAAGCATGTGGGTGAGCAGAAAGGTGTGAACAAACATTTCAGGAATGTATTATTTAAGATCTGAGATGTGTCACAATTTGGAGAAAGGAGAGTGACAGTCATCAAGGATGAACATACTTTCTCTTAAAGCAAGCGGGGCTGTCTCCCAGCACCTCTGTTGAGTAGGGTGCCTGCCGTCTCCCAGCCCTGGGCTCTGTTCCTTAGGAGGTGAAGATGGGCCCCTGCCTCACCCCACCCTGTCCACCCCATGCTTCAATAGGTCTGTCCCTTGCCAGCACCCTCTGCACTGCAGACACTTTGCAGTGGTCCCTACTACCACCTAAATCACCCCATGTGTACATCAGCACTTGAGCCAACTGGGTTGACCCATAAGCTACAGGGCACAGTCAGAACATGGCATGTGAGTCCTGAATCGGCGGCACCAGTCCCAACTCTCCACTCCCAATATCCCAACTCTGCGAGGGTGGAGACAGGTTGGAGGGAAAGCTGTTATAGGAAGGTCGAGTCATAAGAAATAGCTGAAAGGGTAGTGATTTGGAGGCCACAGGGTAATGTGCCAACAACCTCCAGGCCCTCTGGAAGTTTCTTCACTAATTCATAAGAGTAAATCTTCATAATGACCATAAGACACGGGCACATCGTTCCATTCCCCACAGGAACAAACGGAAACTCAGGGAGACTAAGCTGAGCTTAGCAGCTACTAAGCGTCTGAGTTCGAACCTGAAAATCAAGTGCAATGTGGATCCCATACAGCCTTATGCCCCCTGTTTGACTTGAAAACTCCAAACTCTACTACAAATGCTAATTGCTTGTTGTTGTTGGGTCACACCAGGAAAAGGGCACTGGAGCTGGGACAATTGTCACCAAATTGGCAGAGGGGAGCTCAGGGTCCTGGTCCTTGCGGCCTGCGGTGGCTGCCTGCTGGAAATGGAGCAGGGCATTTCTAGGGACAAGGGACAGGCTCCTAGTTATAATTCCCAGCCCTCCTGAATTTTTAGCTTCCATTGTTGCCTATAAATGGAATAGCTGTGATTTATGGAATGCTTTCCTTCCCCTTTCTGAACTTGACATTCTCTTTGATGAATGAGGCGCACGGAGGCAGCTTCCTGGTGCATGGGACATCACTTGAGTGGCTCCTGCCTGTCAGACACCACTGACTCCAGCAGGACACAGGCCACTCAGGGTGTTGGGAAAGCTCTGAGCTGCTCTTTGTTTTAATGTTAATGGAAACACAGGAATGTAAAAGGAAATTTTATCACTAGAAGGTGACTTAGGGAAAGTCCTCAAGATCTTGGGGGAGGCAAGAAATACGTAAATAAAGAAAAAAGCGCTAATCATAAAACATTAATGATTTTTTTAAATTTAAAATTAACGTTTTAAATTTGAGAACATCTTTTATTTAAAAGACGCCATTGCTAGAGTGAAAAGGTAAGCCTAGGAGGGGGGGGGGAAGATACTTGTAATGCACATATCCAACAAGGAACTCATATCTGCAGCATTTTTTTTTAGGGAAAGCAAATAAACAAAAAACCTTCCTATAAATGAGTAAATGAGCAAAAGACCTGGATGAGTAGTCACAAAAGTAGTCAGCCTGATGGCAAGTCATCAAGAAAATGCCATTTAAGACCACTGTGCCATAGCAGTACACAGCTCCCAGTATACAGCTCCCAGTACAAATAAAATCTTAAAAACTGAAAATGCCAAATGTGGGCCTCCAAAGAAAAGAAGCAACTGGACTCTCAATCACTGCTGGTAGGAGCGTTTTAACTGGTCTAATCAATCAGAAAAAATCTCTAGCAATACTAACTAAAGGTAAATACTCACACCCTAGGACCCAGCAATTCCACTGGAGGAACTACCCAACATCACATATGCACCTGAAGACCAGCACAAGAATGAGCCTAACTGCACCATGTGTAATAGCGCGACACTGAAAACAACCCCAAAGTCCGTCAATATGAAAATGAGTGACAAGCTCAGTCTTGCAAGAGAATACTGTGAATCAATGTGCCGCAGTAGGGTGAATCTCCAAAACACAAAGCTGAGCAAAAGGAGTCTGGTTCAAGAGTCCATGATG